AAGTCCAATAGCTTCAAAAGTGCATCTTCAAAGCACTCATTGCGTTTGCTATACTACCGGCTAAACATATAACGCGTAAAAAAATCAGGATCATGGGGCATTAACTGTACGTGATTGGTCTAGCCAAGGCCCCTTCAACAGTTTTTACAGCGGAGCTGTTAAGGGCTAGTTTCCCCAGGATCGTATCCGGCAGCAAACAAATGATGACACAACACTCTGGACAGTTACCGCCACATATAAACGACGGCGGCAACCTTTCCACTCTGGCTTGCCGACTTGTGGCCGGCCATCACTTCATTCCCACCATAGTACAGTTTTGCTGGTCTTCCTTCTTCACCAAAGTGGAAAAGTCAGATGAAACGCTGCACAGAAATTTAACTGATTCACAACGATCGCCAGAATTAGTTTCTTGTTCTTTATGGACTTCTAACACCATGAATAACGAATGGGCACGATTTGTACCTTACAAAAATACTCCAGTGATTTCTTTTTAATTTTGTTTTAATGGTTGCTGTATTGCTTTAGAATTGGCTCGCCACACTGATAGACACGGCTGTACCAGTCTCCCAATTATTGCGTAAAAAAAAAAAAAGATAAAAAAATCGCGAAGTTATTTAATTTTTGTATTTCGTTATCAACGTGTTTCTCAAACCTAGAGCCCGTACTTGCAGCACTGGAGTGTGACGGCAAAAATGGTACCAAAGTGGGCAGTAAACCACGTTCCCAACTGATTACGAGACGTTTGATGGTGGGAAAAGAATGCTTAGAAGCCCATTCACCCAAAAACAAAAACAAAAAAACAAAAAAAAACGCTCAACATTTTTGTTTTAGACTACCTGCGCGACCTGAAGGTCTCTACCATACGTGACGTCACACCACAGGAGAGTGCGCGGAAATCCAAATGTTGGTTTCGACATCATCTTGATTCACGGTTTCCTCGATAGCTATTATGAATTTCGAGACAGTAACTAGCATATCGTGGAAACTAAAGTCCGGGTATACATAAAATTCCATCTGTTTGGGTAGATCAAAAAACAACCAGAACATGCCGCGTCCTTCTATCAACCGGCTCATGCGAGGATACCAATCGTTACGTCAGAATCACCGTACTCGACAAACACGAAATGTCACGAAAGAAAGAAAATACAGTTCCTTACGGGAAGTCATCGGACGAGCTATCACCTCCGCCCTCATCCATCCTTCGCAACAAGTCACCGAGAACTGAGCAAGAAAACCGGGAGCTCTGAGCGCAGAGTACAAGTGCTCATTGCCGTTTGTATACGTCACAACGTGTACGCAACAGCCTCTCGGCTAACACGACAGGCAAGCGCTACGGGCCTGTCAGTGGTGGTCACGTGTCAGCAACTCCTAATTTGAATGATGGATTTTGCATAAACGTACTTGCCAAACGTGTTTCTTTTTCCTTTTTTTCTCGCGGAACACGCGCGTTTGCGTCACGCGTAGTTGCCCTCGAACAAAGTGGGTCCCGTGACGGATCGGTTTCGCGGCGGTCGGCCCCTACACCAAAGCTTCCGAGGAGTGTGCCACGAGGGGCTGAACCTCCCGAGACGAGGAAACTGTGAATGAAGTCGTCACTGCGTTACGCTTACGTCACTGAGTTGGCTGGGAAGGCATTTAGCTGTCTGTCCTCCATTTTGGTAAACGGCAAAAGGGGTAAATACTCCGATTGGCTGCGATGCGGTCGCACAGCGCCTGTGAAGGATGGTAGCAGCCAAAACTCTCACTGTACAAGAAAAAAAAAAAAAGAAACGCGGAACAAAACTTTTTTTGTTGTTACTTTAATCCCAAAGGGCTGCAGTACTCTATCTCCGCATAAAGGCTCGTATATTTCCCGTTCAGTGGTGCGATCCACTGCATTGCAACTGCTTCTGGCCACTTACAACGAGGCTAGAGTAATTAGACAAGAGCAGAGCCGCTGGACGAGAGAAGACACTGGTGCCACATATCGGGCAGAATACCTCCAATCTGCGCATATCTTACGCATCATTTTTTCACCGTGAGCTTGAGATAATTCTGGCAATTTTATGAAGCCATAACTTGTCATAGAAAACGCGTAGCTTCGATCTCGCAAATACTGCAGAGTCTGCGGTCTAGTTATACGCATATTTTAAGTCCCTCAGGGCTGCCTGATAGATGGCGCTAGTGTACTCTTTCGTGGCAAGCGGTTGCGACATAGTTGATCACACTCGAAAGCAAATGTGTGAACACTCCAGTGATTTTTTTATGATCGCTGATTTGCCTCAAAATTGGCTCAACACACTGATAAACACGGCTGTACCAGTCCTCCAGATATTGAGTAAAAAATAAAATTGCGAAGTTGTTGCATTTTTTTTTAATTTTCATTCTCATCGTGTTTCTTAAAACGAAAGCCCCTACTGGCAACACTGACGTGTGACGACAGAAATGGTACAAAGTGAGCAGTAAACCACGTTCCCATCTGTTTTCGAGACGTTGGATGGTGAGAAAAAAATGCTTGGAAAATCTTTCACTGGGAAGCACAAAAAAAAAAAAAAAGAAACGCTCAGATCGCGCGGGTAGTTTAAGACTACCCGCGCGATCTCTACAGATCTGTACCATCTGTGACGTCCCACCACTGGAGAGCGCACGGAAATTTGATGTTGGTTTCAGCATTACCTACATTTACGATTTTCTCAATAGCTGTTTTAAATTTCGAGGCCATAAATAGCGTACAGGGGCCCTGCAATCATATTTAAGCGTCTACCTTTTTTTTTTTTTTTTTTTTTTGGCGGTTTCCACATTTTTTGGGGTTCGGGCAAGCCAGCGAGCACGGAGAGAGTAACTAAATATCAGTGCGTTATATTTTAACCGGGCGACGCGGAAACCTCCTCCACCTACGAGGGCGACCCGCGGTGCCGGAAGCGCGCGATATGTGAAGTCTTCGGTCCTGGGCTTACTACTGGCCAAAGCCGCTAAAAGCTTCTTTTTAGTCGAAATACAAAATATATGTGCCTCGAGCCGTTTCAATTATTTATGAAAGTAGACTACTTGCGCGACTGTTCAGTATTTTAGATCAGAAAAGAAACGAATGCAGTTTAGAAAGTACGGAAACAAGAAATGATTCGTCGACATACCCGCCACCAAGCAATGGAAAAGACGGCGCATACTAGAAAAGGGTAGTGGGATCAGGCACCGACGAGTGGCGAGCGTAGAAAGGTCCCGGATGTACGCGGCGGCGCTGCGGTCGTATGCGGCCTCGAGGATCCGACCGGTTCCGAAGGCCTTCGGCGAGACGCCTTGGCGGTATGGCAGCGCGAAGTGGCTCCCGTTCTGAACTGATATTTACCCCGTGTTGGCTGTCGTCTGTGGCCAATGAAGTGTCATGCCGTATTAGTCTTTAATCGCGCAGCAAATGCAATACGAGCCGCCCTTGCCGCCCGCTTCATAGAGCCTATCCTGCCCATGCTTTAGTGGCGCCCTCTTGAGCCGTCGACACGGAGTACGGCAGCCGTGAGCGCTCGCTGAGCTCACTACCCCTCCTCTAGTTCACGGCCACTCAAGCGACCAAGGACGTCGTGAAGGAGGTTATTCTTTGCTTGTTTTCGTAATTTTAATTCGAGAATTCGAAAAATGCAACAAACGGATCACAAACTCGGTATCTGCCACATTTCCAAAAGAAAAATCAAATCAAAAGAACACGAAATGAAAGAAAAGTGTACCTTCCCTAAAATTTTAAAGCCGAAGAATAATTGTTTCTTGGTCAACGCTTTGTTTATTTGTGCAAACATCCATAAGTCAGAGTCAGGACATACTTTGACAACGTCAGAGTCGGCTGATGGCGCCCCAGCGACACCATACTTGGCCCGTGCGGAGTTCAACCGAACCTAGAACCGTCTATAAACTCACCCCTTTGGCGCCGTGGCGCTATAAGGCCGTGAACTTAAAAATAGTGCTGCAACGGGGACAGTGGACAGGGGTTTAGCACCCGCTGGAGGAGTGCCAGAATGAGCTGCCAATGCTACGTTTACTTTGCTTTCTCTCGTTTTTTTTTTTTGTTTTTTTTTTTTATCATGCTGGAATTTTCAATTTGCTGGAGTTTTCAATTTGCAAAAAAAAAAAAAAAAAACACCTGCAGGATTTAAACGACATGACGAGTTAACTTGTCAAAGTTGTATTCAAGAGGGGAGGGAAAGGGGGGGGGGGGCATTTCAATGAATGCGCATCCGGCGTTCCTTGCAATTACCATTGAAACACAGTTCGGAGGGAAAGTGCGAGGACTTCCATATTAGGGCACATCACACGCCCGTGGTCTTCCGATTTTGCTCCGTGCGGTAATATATAATTTTTTTTTTTTTTTTTCACTCCTGCAATTGTTAGGGACGGGGTGAACAGTCCAGACAAATAAATACACTTTGTAACGTGGGAACGTTATGACTGGCTCGTATATGTATTTAGCATTATTCGCAACGTGCAACAAAAGACCCTTATGAGGGTCCAAGAGAACCGTTAACCCGAGCAGACGAGTAAACATAAGATTAGCTCCAAAAGCCGTAAGTCAGGGAACAAAAAACAGAAAGCCTCGATTAAAATGTGTGGGTTGAGCTGCTCGCATGTTGTCTCTATCTTTTATAACTTTTTTCAATCCTTTCTCTATTAAATTTAAAAATATTTATTATTATTATTTAAAAAAAAATTAGCAGTGCGTTACGGAATTATGTTGCCAGCCTCCATTGATTATTCTGAATAAGGACAGCGACAGTTTTGCATTCTCCCATTTACTTCACGCTGCATTTCTAGCTGTGACGTCTCAAAAAAAAAAAAGCGAAGTAAGCGTCTAATGCTCACGCTGGATGCAGTGAAAACACCGAAGGCTCGATAGAAGCACTACAGTCCATTCAAATAAACGCGTCAGAAGTTGGCAAATAAACATCTACGACAGAAATCTGCCTGGTTGGGTGGAACCGTAGCAATAAAAAAAAAAAAAAGGGGGAATACTCCGATTAAGTCAGTCGTGCACTCACTTGCCGACGAAGAACTGGACCTTCTTCCTCGGTCTGCAGTAGGCGCAGGCAGGTTCGCTGCAGAGCACGCCCAGTGCGCCCGAACAGCGTCCACGGGACGACGATCCCGCACCAGAAGCAGCCGACAAGCGGCGTCCCAGGCGACGAACGATAAGAGCCAAGCGACCAGACTTGTCGGAACCCTCCACCAACATGGCGACCAACCAGGACGCTTCCCTCGTCTGGATGCACGAAGAGGAGCGGAGGAAAGGGTTCCTGGTACCTACGCCACTCAACCCCCTCAACGGAGGAGGATGGACATTGAAACCAACAAGACCGCTGACGTAGGACACCGAACTCGTCCCAAAAGTGGGCTTTTTTTCGGGCGAGGATTACTGACAAGGGGCTCCCCTGGAGACAGCTGGGAAAGCGGAATGATTATGGGCCCCACGTGGGCTGGGTGCAGCATTCGCCGATAAGGATCCGGAACGAGGTCCCTTTTTTCGGTGTGTATACTCTGCGCCGCTCGTACAAACATTTCTGGAGTGGTACTTTAGATCTACTCTAGTGTATATCTTGGCTTCTATGAATTGCCAAGAGGCGCCCACCGCAGAACGGTGGTTGTCCATTCACTCCACAAGATCTGCTTATCTGGACGTTGATTATGCGGTTTGGTTGGAATCCGGTATGTACTTACGTGAAGAATTTCGGAACTTTTGGTTAAGTTTCCAGCCGATATGAGGCGTCGATCTGTTGTTGGATGAAATGGACTTCGGCGGACGGAAGCTAAAGTAAGGATTCGAGGCTTGTTTACGATTCCTGTGCCGACGAAAAAGCGTAGGAAACTGCAGACAGAACGCTACGAATGCCAATTAAATTCGGTAGCCATACGACAGTGATAATGAGGCCTTGTGACTCAGAGTTTGGACTTGGTAGGCAATAGTTTTTTTTTTGGAGACACGGATATAGTGTACATACCCAAGAACGACACCTCCTCACGCCACTGGAATCACGCACAAAGAATTAAAAGAAAAGGACAGCCGTACTATAGACGTCGTGGATGTCTAACTTCAGACACTTGACGGGAGAGGCGTCCCTGCAGTTCTGAAGACCCCAGCAAGCCGTTGGAAGGTAGCAACATACGCGAGAGCATAAAACCAGCGAGCTCATAAACAAGGCAAGCTGATACTGACGTCGGATGCCTCGCAACACATCAAACACGTCAAAGAGGGCAAACACTCACGGATCGCCGCTTCAGGGTGAGCAAGCACTTCAGACCGACACTCACCTTCGAGCACGTGAACGTCAAGTAAGCTGGAGATGGAAGTATATACCTATCCGTTTTTATCCCGCAAACAACGACGGTGAGAAGTTAACGTCCGTGGCGGCCGTGTATACGATCCTATGCGCGTGCCAGGAAAGCAGCACGGGCCCGCAAGGCCCTCAACGGCAACGAGAAGGCGTATCCCGCGGCGAGCCAACTTGACATCTTGTTACGTGTTCCAGGGATCTCTCGTTTTCGTTCCCTTCTTTCTCTCTCTCTCTCTCTTTCCTTTGGGCAACGAAGGAAGCGAGCAATCTTCCCTTCACTCTCTATCTCTCGATGAAATTACGGTCCCTTTATAGTCCTCGTTCGCCTTTAAGTGGCCCAAAGCACCATGGCGGTCAACTCCATCAGATATGTATCAGAAAGTGCTATGGTGTCCGCACTTGCTTGTTTTGGCTGACCACAAAATTGAGGGTCGTGGGTTTGATTGATTGAGTAACAAGTGCGTCGTAAGTGAAGTTTCTCCTAGGCGTTATCCTTTACGCCTCACACAAGAGCATCATGCTTCATGGTGTGGGTGACGCTGCAAACGATCATTGCGATCACTCAAGACAATGGCGCTCTATGGCCTTAGTAGCCTTTGCGCCATAAACACCAAATCAACCAACTCAAGACAAAAAAATGGAACGACAAACCTCTGCGTATGGTCTTCGTTTAACTGAAATGGTGGTGTTCATTGCGGTGTCGTTCCCTCGTCGATAGGCAAGCGAGACACCGCAAAGTTGGATGGCGGCTCGCTTTAGGATTAGCATTCATTCGATGGAGTGTACAGCAGAGTTTCGAAGACTGTGGACGCACGTGTGATATGTCGCCGATAAGAGCTACTGCGCACCTTTAGAACTTGTTCCGGCCGGTGCCATTCGCGAGTTTCAGTATTGCGTTTACGAGCGAACGCAAGCACTGTGCGTTTGCGTTAGGTCGTGTTTTCCATATTGCGCATGCGCGGAGCCCAAACTGCGGTCTTGGATCGGCGCATCGCGACGACGCGCACGCGCAGGGTGGAAGTAGCACGCGCCGCTAACGCAAACCGCTCGCGTTTGCCCCTACGCGCAATATCATAGCCTCCTATAAACTGACAAGGCCTGGCAGATCGCCACGAGAAGCGGCCGCCAAAATGGAAAAGGTGGAGCGGCAGACAACGGATGAGAGGGCGCCACGTGACAGGCGCCCCGCTGCGGCGAGACGCCGAAACACGCTTCTCCCGAGCGAACAAGTGTGTTTCGGGTTCTCGCCGCTGCAAAAGCTGTGCGCTGACGTCCAGGCTCCCCGAGAAATGGCTCTTTGATGCTCTGAGCCGGATCCTCGCTGTCCGAATCTGCGACCGGGCACTCTATGGCTCCGTCGTCGAACTGCAAGGCTTTGTGAGCATAGAGAAGGCTATGGCAATATACTATACTCCGTTTCACCTTATGTTGTATCGCAGCGAAGGCTAAAGCGCGAGCTCATAGTGTTGGTAGCTGCCCTTAATGCACGAGAACTTGTGCCGCCGAGATGTGCCAGAGCAAGGAGCTCACGCCTGCAGCCTTTCCTGCGGTACATAGCGGTACATCACATGGTGAAACAAAGTATAAACCTACCTCGTTGGTTTATCAGCGTTCGTGAAGAAGGCGCGTGCTTTGCTCGCTTGCCGAATCGACGAACACGAGCTTGCTGGGCTTCGAAAATCGCACATGGCATGCCGTGGTTTTTGCGGACGCTATCTTGCTCGACGATGTCAAGGTCAACGTAGTTTATTCCAGTTTCCTGCTGTCAAAGCTGCTTGCACGAGCGCGTGGCTTCCTTTGGCATCACTTTCGCGTAACGCGGCACAGCACGTGCCAATAAAACGCAAGACGAAGCCGCGTATATACTCACACGACACTGCACACTCACATCTGTGCGGGGCGGGACTGCAGCACTCGAGAAACTCCGCGCTCGCCTTGAAAACGTAGCAGAAAAAAAAAAAAAAGTAAATGCGGAGCGTAGTTGTTTTTTTTTTTCTCGACCCAGAAGTTAATGGGTACAAAAGCACGTAAAGATGTTTACGAGCATAGCAGCTATCGGTCATGTTCAGACGCTTCTATACTTCGTTTCAGCTTCGCTCCAGACGCAGCCAAAGCTACAAGCGCGAGGTCCGGGCTTTCAGCATCCCTGCCAAGCGCGCGCGCTCGTGTAGCGCAAGCACTGTTCTGGGCCACATGCTCGCGCTTGTAGCATCGGCTGCGTCTGGACCGAAGCTGAAACGAAGTATAGTTTCCTGTGCTTTTTCTTTTCTCTTCTTAGAGCACGTTTACGTGTGTGCGCCTATCTTTCGCTGATTCGACTCATTCACGTTTTTTTTTGTGTGTGTATGTGTGTTATTACGTTTTCCTGTTTTGCTTCTGGACTTCCCTTATCTGCCTCTGAGAGACGAGGACCCCGTCACAAACACTTACCGACTGCTCCGCTGCAAGCAAAACTACGAACGTGTCATGGACGCGGGACCATTGCAGAAGGAAAGAACAACGAGCAAAACAGCGAGAAAATCCTATATATGCCCGATATATTGCACCTTCCGCGCCAAAATCGGTGCTCAAAACTGGGCGCTTTCCGAAACTTCATACTATCCCAAAATTGTCGTCTTAAAAAAAAAAAAAAAAAAAAAAAAAGCTTTTACCAATTTTTGTTATTGATAACTTCGTAATTTATATAATCTGTTGCAAAGTTAACAGTGAAGATAATTTGGGAGGCTTCACTCCCAAATTCCCAGGGAAAATGGCGTCATAACTACACTCGTTTGCACCTCAAGAACCGTAGTTCAAAAAAGTAGTCCGGCTCCTCGCGGAGCACTACTAATTCCCCCTTTTATGTGGAGAAATAAAATATATGTACGTGCATTTTAGTCTTAGATTAGATATATGTTATCTTACCAAGAAGTACGCGTCTCAAACGCCTAAAGCATCGCTTCTTCCTCCGATAACCAAATCTTGTAACTACTTATCGCGGTGTATGAACACTGCGCAAAACTTCTTGTAGAGATGTCGCGAATATGCCCAGGTTCGGGTTCGACCTTTTCGGCCTTTAAACCCAGTATTCGACAAAAGACCTGAACTAGTAAACGCATGTGCGTAGTAAAGAAAAAAAAAAAAGTCGGCGTAGTTTGGCGGAGGACGGGTGCAGCATTTGAACGAGCTAACTAAATTATTAAAAGCTCATGTTTGTTTTTATATAGTGTAAAGTAATGGTAACGATTCTCCAAAATTTAACACATTAGTTTCTAAGTTTTCCTGCCCACACCAAAAAACTATTTTTTTTTTTTTTTAAGTTGAGCAACATTCTTTAATAATAATAATAATACATTGTATTTCTCCACCACATCCATGACGGAAGAAGACCGAGGAAAAAAGCTGCATAAATGCAGCTTGACGAGTCCTCGGCCCCCTCCCTACAATAGGCAGCAGTGGCAGCTGACAAAGCACACAAAGTAAAAAGAAAAGAAGAAAAAAAAAAAGAAGAAAGATACAAGCTCAGGTAACAAAAAAAGCGAAATGTATCAGAGCGACAATTCAAAATATGACATTGCAGAATGGAGCAAATTCAACTCTTAACAATTCAGTAAAAAGTTATCATCACAACAAAAGCGCACATAATCAGACATATAGAGAGCATGATTAAGCACTGTTATATAAATTATGAGCTTATGGCGAACAGACAGAACTGTACATACGTCAGGACACATTGATCGATCAAAGTCATTAAATTACGCGCTTAAAAAAGGATCGGATTTCTTTCGGTTTTGATGTAAGGAGCTTCATATTTTGAGTGTTCAGATAATTAAGTAGGTCGGGTAATACATTCGATAACATCTGCTCACCGTAAGTTGTTCTGCAATTTGGCACTTTCCAGTTTTCTATGTTGCGAAATGAACATATTGGCAATCTCCTCGTCAGAGACGCTATCTTGACAAGATGACATATATTGTTCATGAATTCGAACTTGTAACTTAGGCATAGACGGTATTTATATAAACTACACGTGCAATACGTTGAAACTTTCAAAAAGAAATATGCTAGGGTGATCATATGGAACATTACTTATAATTCGCACTATTTTTTTTTTTTTTTCTGGAGCACAAGTATCTTATTTAAATTTGCATTAGTAGTATTTCCCCAGACAAGATGGCAGTAGTGCACACGCGAGAGAAATAAAGAGTTGCAGATGATTCATTTAACACTGGCTGGCAGAATGGTGCGATGATGGCATAATATGCCAACGACCTGCGACAACATTACCAAAATATGATTTACATGGTCATCCCACGTCATTCGTTCTGTGAATATAATGCCAAGCGTTTTGAGGCGAGTCAAAACCTCAATTTCGGTCGAATCCAACACGATATCTGTTGTGATAGAGGCATTTTTATTTTTTGGTTGAAACGAAACAGCCTTGGTTTTGCTCACGTTTATTTTTAGCGCGTTAGAGTGACTCCAGCTACCCAGATCATGGAGTTTGATTAGCCCTATTTGCTAGTTCAAAACAGCAGTCTCCTTTAAAAAAACAGACTTGTATCGTCAGCGTAAATCACAAATTTTGTACTTTTATTTACATTGACAATGTCATTAATATATGAAGTAAACAAAAAAGGGCCCAGAATGCTGCCTTGTGGGATACCGGATACGATTGGTTTAATGTCAGAAGAATAAACGTTAATATGAACGTACTGTTTATGATTAAGGTATGACGAAATGAGAGCTGACGCGGTTCCACGGAACCCGTACTTTTTTTTTTTTTTTTTTATGAGCAGTTTATGATTGAAATAATCAATCTCTTTGGTGAAATCCATAAAAAGCCCAAGGGTCATTTTTTTTTATCCTCAAAACTTTGCAAAATATATTCTTTTTGCTCTAGGAGAGTGAGTTCTGTAGATCGGCCCTTACGAAACGCAAACCGTGACGGAGTGACTATATTGTTTTTATCCGAAAACTTAATCAGTCTTGAAAGCAAGATTATTTCGAAGCCCTTAGAAAACACGTATATAATTCGGCATGTCAATCTTATCGCCCTTTTTCAAACAAAACAGTTACCCTGGCAATCTGCATTTTTTCAGGGAAGACCCCACACTGCAAACACAAGTTAAAGACATGCGTTAAAGGAGCTGTGCAACAATTTCAGGGCTTTGCTTAAATAATTGTGAAAGTTGATGCCCGACACTTCTGAGTGAACTACAGAAACCAGATTTTGCCTGGATACCCTAGTTTTTATTTTTTTTAAAAAATGAAAAAGATCCAGGTTTTT